TCAAGGTCCTGGAGTGGCCTAGCCAGTCTCCAGATCTCAACCACATAGAAAATCTTTGGAGGGAGTTGAAAGTCCGTGTTGCCCAGCGACAGCCCCAAAACATCACTGCTCTAGAGGAGATCTGCATGGAGGAATGGGCCAAAATACCAGCAACAGTGTGTGAAAACCTTGTGAAGACTTACAGATAACGTTTGACCTGTGTCATTGCCAACAAAGGGTATATAACAAAGTATTGAGAAACTTTTGTTATTGACCAAATACTTATTTTCCACCATAATTTGCAAATAAATTCGTTAAAAATCCTACAATGTGATTTTCTGGATTTTTTTTTCTCATTTTGTCTGTCATAGTTGACGTGTACCTATGATGAAAATTACAGGCCTCTCTCATCTTTTTAAGTGGGAGAACTTGCACAATTGGTGGCTGACTAAATACTTTTTTCCCCACTGTAAGTATTCAACCCCCTGAGTCAATACATGTTAGAATCACCATTGGCAGTGATTACAGCTGTGGGTCTTTCTGGGTAAGTCTCTAAAAGCTTTCCACACCTGGATTGTGCAAAATTCTCTCAAATTAATTGTTGATCATTGCTAGACAACCATTTTCAGGTCTTGCCATAGATTTTCAAGCAGATTTAAGACAAAACTGTAACTTGGCCACTCAGGAACATTCACTGTCTTCTTGGTAAGCAACTCCAGTGTATATTTCGCCTTGTGTTTTAGGTTATTGTCCTGCTGAAAGGTGAATTCATCTCCCAGTGTCTGGTGGAAAGCAGACTGAACCAGGTTTTCCTCTAGGATTTAGCCTGTGCTTAGCTCCATTCCATTTATTTTTAATCCTGAAAAACTCCCCAGTCCTTAACGATTACAAGCATACCCATAACATGATGCAGCCACCACTATGCTTGAAAATATGGAGAGTGGTGTTGTATTGGATTTGCCCCAAACATAACACTTCGTATTCAGGACAAAAAGTTAATTGCTTTGCCAAAGTTTTTGCAGTATTACTTTAGTGCCTTGTTGCAAACAGGATGCATGTTTTGGAATATTTTTTATTCTGTACAGGCTTCCTTCTTTTCACTCAGTCAATTAGGTTAGTATTGTGGAGTAACTGCAATGTTGTTGATCCATTCTCAGTTTTCTCCTATCACAGCCATTAAACTCTAACTATTTTAAAGTCGCCATTGGCATCATCGTGAAATCCCTGAGCGGTTTTCCTTCCTCTCCGGCAACTGAGTTAATAAGGACACCTGTATCTTTGTAGTGACTGGATTTATTGTTACACCATCCAAAGTGTAATTAATAACTTCACCATACTCAAAGGGATATTCCATGTCTGCTTCTTTTTTTTTTTTACCCAATCTACCAATAGGGGCCCTTCTTTGCGAGGCATTGGAAAACCTCCCTGGTCTTTGTGGTTGAATCTGTGTTTGAAATTCACTGCTCGACTGAGGGACCTTACAGATAAGTGTATGTGTGGGGTACAGAGATGAGGTAGTCATTCAAAAATCATGTTAAACACTATTATTGCACACATAGTGAGTCCATGCAACTTATTATGTGACTTGTTAAGCACATTTTTACTACTGAACTTATTTAGGCTTGCCATAACAAATGGGTTGAATACTTATTGACCCAAGACATTTCAGCTTTTCATTTTTAATTAATTTGTTAAAAATTCTAACACAATTCCACTTTGACATTATGGGGTATTTGTGTGTAGGCCACTGACAAAAAAAAATCAATTTAATCCATTTTAAATGTAGGCTTTTTCCACAAAATGTGGGAAAAGTCAAGGGGTGTGAATATGACTTCCTCTGAGCTCAAGTCAAAGGTACAGACATTTAGCAGAGATCTGAAAGGGAGATTGGGAGGAAAGAGAGGTTTGGTCACTCACCCTTTTCTGGTCTTCCAGGCCGTGCATCACAGGTTTCCTCCTCTGGTGCTGCTGTGGGGATGCCTCTGCTCCTGATTCCATTTTCTCTTCCTTCTACAATATCCAACAGTCCCTTCTTTGTTAAAAAATATCCTATGAAATATCCTCTCCAAGAAACAAAGAGAAAAGCTTATTCCAAAGTCCTTCAAACCCCGCACTCTTTCAACCAAAATCACTATTGGTCCAACAACTTTGTGGGAGATAAAAAAAACACCCAACAAGCTATCTCATGGGGGTATGTCCTGGGTGGAGCTAGCTCAGTCAGTTATGTCGTCACTCCATGGCTCTCGGCTGCAGTTTTTAGCCCACTGAGGCTGACCCAGACTGGGCATCAGGGGATAGGCAGGGGCCCTAAGATCCGGATTTCCAGAACCATGGTGGCCCTCTCTCCTCAAGCCTTCACCCAGAGCGAAAACCTCTAATCTTCTCCCTGGATATGATCATGGCTCCCTATTCCCACAGGGCCAACATTCCTCCATTGTAAAATCACTGGAAGGGATCCAGTTTCGAACCCCACAGTTTGTAAAAAATAAAATAAAAAAAGAGAATAGGAGAATGGAATACCTGATGCTGTTTCAAATTCACAGGCCCCTGAAGAGTCTGGTATCCTGATTGTGAGCAGGTGCGTGTGTGTGTTTTAGAAAAAGAAAACAGAGTTAAATTGAAGACACTTGCAGAGGTTACAGTGTCAAGAGGGGGTGAATTTTGGAGGCCAAGGCATCTCAAGAGCCCTGTAAAGTCTGCTGGATTAACCTGTGATATAGTCACCAAACTATTCCCTTTGCACAACTGGATGGGTCAAAAAACAAAAGTTTAACCAGGCTGCCAATTAGACAACAGCATGGAACAATATTCTACAGCAGGGATGGGACTGTCCCCTTATATTTAGGAACTCAGTCGGGGTCTCAGAATAGTAGAATACACAATGTGCCATTTCGAAATGAGGTTATTTTTATGTCCGTCACTGACAGTCACTCAATTAGCACGTAAGCAAAAAAATGTATTGGTAAATTAGTCTAGCCAGCTATATAAACATGTAGTAATCATGGTTGAATTGGCTAAATTAGTAGAAATGCATGAGATTTGTTATAAAATTGCAAAATCTTCTCTCAGCCCCATGGCAAAATGTGTAGAATTGCAGAAAACTTGCTTTAAATTGCAGGAAATTAACTATAAAAATTCAAAAAATTTCTCTCTGCATGTGTGGGTATGGATGGGGGTACACAGACCCGCGAGCCACTGTGGACACGCCTGATAAATTCAGATGTTTTTGTGGCCCCCACCTCATCAAAGTTGCCCATCCCTGTTCTACAGGGATTATGTTACTTGCAAATGTATAGGCTACATGCAATAAATTACTGATGAAAGTTGTAATTCATCTTGAAGAATACACAATAATCTCAGACAATAAAGTGTCAATGATATGAATACTATACTTATACTACATTGGATGTAACTGCATAAATTGCTGACAAGAAATCAAATAAGGTTGGTAGGCTACTAACTGAGGTCTAGGCTGGCTACCTCAGAATGTTATAGAAAATTAAAAAACATAATGCATGACTTTTCAGAATTTCAGGATGAAATGGCAGGTTCTCGGGCTCGAGCTTCATGAAAACCAACAGCGAGAGTTTTATTGGGCAGGTACATAGTGCGTAGCATGAGCCGAATGCAATAGTTATATAGTGTATTAAACTAACGATTGTAGCTAAATCAGTTATGCAAAGCAAGCCCTCAACAATTTCTGCTCATACATTTCCAAATAATAAACACAAAACATGCTAGAAGAAGCATATGGATGACGGTATATCACCCTGCAGAAATCCTGCTAAGGCAGGTGCAGCATTTCCTTTGCTCTGATATGGGGTTTGTTGAAATAGACGTAACCTTACTTAAAATCATAAAAATATAGTGAATTTAAGTAAAAGGTGAGAAGTAGCTACTCACCCAACACAGCAGCAGCGAATGTAATGTTTCCCTTCAAGGACGAAATGCTCCCTTCGCTACCCTCCCTTCTTTCCCATTCCTTCTTGAACAGCCAGTGCACGCTTCACTTTGCTCGGCAAGGTCCCACTCACTCTTCAATCGATTACATTACGTCACTGGCCCGCCGCACAGCGTTTTCTCCACCAGCTTCCCCTGCGCCATCTGTTTCCATGGATACTTACAGAGAATGATTTTGGTGCCATCTAGCGACATCGCATCGAATGTCTCATGCCTATAGCAAATCTGTGCAAATTGTATCTTGTGCAAATTGTATCTCCCAGTCTCCCTCTCTGAGTCAACGCACAAAATAAAACACCAATCCCAATTAATTGTTCAAAATTACATTGTTGCAATAAGTTTTTAGTATTTTATGGAGATATATGTATTACATACTTTTTACATCTATTTCATTCATTTTTATCTCCAACGAATTGAAACAGCATGTTACCCTGTCTGCTAGTCTGCATGCATTTCATGTTTGCATGATATGATAACATTTTACAGAATGGCTACACCGATATGGTACTAGAAACTGTGGTACTATTATATAAGTCTACTGTGGGTCCTTTATATCAGAGGAGGTTGGTGGGAGCAGCTATAGAAGGACGGGCCCATTGTAATGGCTGGAATGGAATTATGGAACGGAGTCAAACATGTGGTTTCAATATGTCTGAGGTGTTTGACTCAGTTCTAGAACTCCATTCCAGCCATTACAATGAGCCCGTCCTGCATATAGTGCATCCCACCAGCCACCTCTGATGTATATTTGTTTTTTCTTCTTCGCCAAAATGTGTGGAAAATAAACAATGGAAAGCTGTTGAAAAAGACGTAGCCTAATTTAATGGTTGCCAAATAATGCAAATGTTGCCTAAACTTAATTGAGTTTATCCCAAGTTTCTGGCAAGATATCCGTGCAGCGTTTAATGTAAACTCGTAGGATCAAGCACTCCGCCTGTAAGTAGTTTCACCGCCGTGGTTGGCTCTATCCGGTGGGGGAAGTGCAAGGTCGGGGCGGGGGGTTGGTTGAGCATGCTATATGCGTAAAACTAGGCGGGACCTCAAATAAACCTATTTTACTCACTTGGGGAATGACTACATGGCTCTCCTTTTAAACCTTTAGTGTGAATTAGCTGATCGTCTGGTTCCGAAATTGCGTGGGGACATTGACAACATTTCTAAATTTTTCCAGATAATAGGATTGTTTTGTCAGCCAATAGCAAAGCACACTTTTATCACCGATGGCTTTAGCTGCTTGACTTCGCAAGGGGGTGCAAAGAAGAATTTGAGAGGGGCACAAATGTAATCTGTGGGTAAGTAACTACATATAGTTGTATTCTTAATTTATCTTAATGGGACTGTGCTTGTCAGTCAGATCTTATTCACCATCTTTAGCTAGCTAGCTACTGTACTTTACACAATTTGTTGGAGTCTAGTGAGCATAGAGTTAACCCGCGCCTTACTGTACGTGGCTAGCTGGTCAGCTAGCTATTGCGATCCAAATTGCATGGGATCTCATGTAAATAAAGGTGCATTTGTAGTTTCTAACATTATATTTAATACACCTCTTATGAAGTATTAAGGCGCTTATTTGTGACTTGTAGCTAGCAAAAAACAGTTGTTTTTGGAAGACATAACTATAGCTAGCGAGCCAGCTTATTAGAAACGGGTGTAGTGGTGACATTAACCCGCGCGCGCAACAGTTCATTAGCTGGCTAACAAACTAATTGGAAAGCGATACAATTTGTTCTGCCAGCCTTTATTAACGTGTAACAAATTTTTTTTACACTAATTAATTAATGCTGACTTGCTTTCGTGCACTATAAGCTATGTAAAGCAGCACAAGTCATCCATGTGTGTCACATTTCAATGTTCCGGGTTGTGTCATTGGACTATGTCTGGACATTCCGCGCCAAGATTTTAAAAAAGATTTGCTTGCGCGGGACCGTCCGAATTTCCTTGAGGTCATCTCCCGCTTTATTCTTACTGGTTACTTTCCGCAAATAGGCGTGTCGTTGAAGCCGTTTTGCTTGATCATTCGATAGAGTGCATGTCAGTTACCGCCAAGCGTCAACTGTGATATTTTGATTAGATTCGATTTTTAACATTCATCTAGGTAATCAACCAAGAGGCACGGTATTATTTGGTAAATGTGATTGAATTAGAAGCAAGGCTGCTAGCTATATCATTAGTATGTTAACACCGAACAAATATAATGCAGTTAAGAAAAGGTAACTAACTAAGCCTATAACATTTTGTGAAACGTGGATTAAATGAATCAAATACATTGATCAGCTTGCTAACGTTAACTGTTATTGTTCTAGCTAGACATTGCTTTTTTGTTAGCTAATATCAGTCTTACATCCTGTGTTTGATTGAAATGCAGGTGGAAAATGTCGAGCACTTTACCCGAGTCCCAGAATCTGAGACATAAAACACAAACCACCACCTCTAACCACAAGGTTAGTCATAGCTGGCTACATGTTTCTGTTATTTTAAAAAAATAATCCAGGTTACTATCTTAGTTTTTATATAGTAGTTCATATGCTGTAAAGCAGATTCTGTTTAGGGTATGTTCAAGGGCATATGACTGATCGTTACATAACTAACTCTAACCATGACATCCAGTGATCCTTAAATCATCATTGCTATTTACTTTGTCCAACAGGGTAATGTCTTTGCAGAGCCACAAGCACTGACAAAAACCCCAAGGAAAGCATCTACCCAAGGCACTGTGCTAACAGAGATTCAATCCAACATGGGACCCCTTACGACCCCAACTAAAGGAAGGGAGACTGGGACTGGTGAGCCTTGGACCCCAACTTCCAATTTGAAAATGCTGATCAGCGCTGCCAGCCCTGAGATCAGGAACAGAGAGAAAGAGCTGTGTATGGACCCTGAGGGAGGGGATGCCATGGTAAAATAATACACACTCACTTACACACACACATATGAATGAGTCTGCAGCTAATACCTTAGAAATGTATTGATTGCCTGTTTGGTATTTTTCCTTTTCACACGTAGGACTCTGAACTTGGAGAGGAAGGGGAGAAACAGATCAGCAGAAAAGAGAAGAGTCTGGGTTTGCTCTGTCACAAGTTCCTGGCCCGCTACCCAGATTACCCCAACCCTGCCCTCAACAACGACATCAGTCTGGATGATGTTGCCACAGAGCTTAGTATGTCCTGTTTTACTCTCTCTCCACTCTCTTTATTCCCATCTCAGAATAGTCAAGCTATATTACCCTTAGATTTTCTAATTTAGTTTTAAAGAATGCAATACATTCAGCATGTATTCCCTAAGCTTAGGCCTATATGTTGGTGATGTAAATAAGCAGTTAAAAACTATAGACAGACAGTATACAAACAAGACCACTTTACTCCTGTTCATTCAACTCACATTCTCTCTTCTCTGTTCGAACAGACGTGGAGCGCAGGCGCATCTATGACATCATGAACGTGCTAGAGAGCCTGCACATGGTCAGCCGACTGGCCAAGAATCGCTACACGTGGCACGGGCGTGCTAACCTGCCACAGACCCTGGCCATGTTGCGGCAGGTGGGCGAGGAGCACCGCTACGGGCAACAGATGCAGCAGATCCGCCAGCGCAGCCTGGAAAAGGAGTTTGACTCGGACGGCGAGGAGAAGGAGAACGAGGAGGTGGAGGGAGGAGGAGAACAGGGCCAGAAGGAGATGTTCTTTGTGGAGCTTCCTGGGGTGGAGTTTAAAGCAGGTGAGAGGCCAGGATTAACCTAATTTGATTAAGAGATATTAATACAATCGTTTGTAATATGTAGCATGCAATTGATTGAGTCTGTACTGCAAGGCTTTTGTAGAAAAAAAAAGTTTTCCCTGTAGATATTTCTTGTTTTAGTGGGCTGAACCGAGTGACCATGGTCTTGGCTATGTAATAACCATGCTATTATTCCCCTGTGTTCTCTCCAGCCTCAGTGAACAGCAGGAAGGACAAGTCTCTGAGGGTAATGAGCCAGAAGTTTGTCATGTTGTTCCTGGTGTCCACACCTCGGGTGGTCAGTTTGGAGGTGGCTGCCAGGATCCTCATTGGAGAGGACCAGGTAGCTGATCAGGACAAGAGCAAGTTCAAGAGTGAGTGTTGAGCCCATAAGGGCAAAACCGTCCTTCATGCCTCTGGCACAGCCTGTGGAAGTCTGTGTATAACAGAATTACTAACTAGTAAATGTGTTCTCTCAGCACATTTCTAGCTAGGATACACAAGATTTATCATAAAAGTGTCGTTGGTGCAATAAGTAAGATTCTGCACACTGAGATGCTCCCCCATGTGTGTTAAGACCTTTATCTGGTGATGATGAGTCTAATGTTTGAGTCTGTGTGTTTGCAGCTAAGGTCCGCAGGCTGTATGATATAGCCAACGTGCTGCGGAGCCTGAAGCTGATAGAGAAGGTCCATGTGACAGAGGAGAGAGGGAGGAAGCCAGCCTTCGAGTGGACCGGCCCTGAGGACTTCCCCAATGTGAAGGGTAGGTACTCATCAGAACACACTGTCTTCCAAATAATACTTCACTTGAAGGGGTTGCCATACATAATAACACTATCACTGTCCTCGATTTCTACATGATATAGAGGTACTCTGTGCCATTGAAGCTATGCTGAACCTTTTCTATACAAGTTAGTGGTTTATATGGACTTTGTAAGTCAGTCGCTATGTTACCATTTAACCTGTAATGGTGTCCAACCTGCCTCTCCCAGTTCACCAGATTAAGTATTGTCTTCTTGTGTTTCAAACATAGAGACCACCACCACAGCCACTGCCAAGAGGACACTTGAGTCTCGTGCCTCCGTAGACAACTGTGCCAAAAATCTCTTCTCCTCTCCGGGGAGCAAACGCAGCTTCACCCGCCACCCCTCCCTCATTAAACTGGCCAAGAGCATCCAGGAAGACCGGCGCAAGATCAACTCAGCTCCCACCAGCCCTGTCAAGAGTAAGTCCTGGGAGATATCTAGACATTAGAGTCGGGGAGATGGAGTATTCAGATGTTTTTCCTGAGAGTTGGTGTCTAAATTAGCTTCTGTTTTTCTTTTCAGATGATTCTTCGGCCAGCGAGTTCTTTCCCACCAAAATGGCCCAACTAGCGGCCATCTGTAAGATCCAGCTTGACCAGCAATCAAACAAGTAAGTGCTGCCTGATTCTCATTGCGGTATCGTATCTTTTAGTCTTCTAAATAAACCAGAAATGTGCTACATTTCCTTGTTAACATCAACTCAGACTGTCAGATGTTACAATGAGTCTTGCCTCGTTCCAGGGTTGTTGACAGGACGTCTAAGCTTGCCGTTAATGTGACTGAGGCAGTGCCAGCTCATCAACAGAAAGCTGCTAAAAAGCCAGGAGCTCCCCAGCCGCCAGTATTAACATCCACAGAATCCCGTGCCAGCACTGTCCACCTCACCCCACAGGCACAGTTCACCCCCCAGCCTACTGGGGCAATGTCCTTCCACCCTGCCCAGTGTTCACCCCTCATCCCTGTGCTGCTGCCCCAACACCAGGGAGGCGGACCCTACGCCATCTACATGCACCCCTCTTCCTTCAGGCCACACCCCCTAACCAGGCCTCAGCCAACCAGCCTCGCCGTGCGCTCCATGACCTTCGAGGATCAGATGGGGCGGAGCCCAAGTGATGTCACAGTGCAAGGCAACTCGCCTGCTACAAACAAGCTGCCAACCAGCAGCCCCTCAGCACTAAAACGTGTGTGTTCAGAGAGACCCTCCGAGGGAAGCCCCTCCAAGGCCAAGAGGATTGACCCCAGCACCAGGGTAAGACCTGTTCTTTACACGCAACCTCTGCCTCTACGCAGCTCAGTTGTACCTACTTTGACCAGAATGTGAGGTGACACTAGTAGAGAACTTTGACAATGTCATACAAATAAAGAAGCCTGATACATAGTTATAGCAACAGTCATACGAAGCTAACCCACCTGTCTTCTCTCCTCTCCTCTCCTCCAGGACACGTCTCCTAAGCTGTGTGAGATCCTCCAGGCTCGTCTGAAGGCGCGTCGCGGGGGTCTCCTCTCCAACCGTCCCTCGCCCCGAGCCCTCCACCTGGACCCCGAGTTCGTCAACACCCCTGGGAGCTCAGCGGCCGCCGCAGCCAATCAGACACTGGAGCAGAACCTGGAGACCTTCCTGGAGAAGGAGGAGAAGGTTGCAACCTCAGACAGCGAGGCAGGGCTCACGCCAGTCAGAGCTGTTCCACTGACCCCCCAACACCTACACACAGAGGTAAACACACAACACACACAAGACATATACACAAGGTGAAACAACACACACAAATACTGGTAATAACAGAAAACACTTGACTTTTGATGCTATGTGTGTATAGTATTTTTGGATGATGTGCATCTTTCCCTTTCGAGAAGATTCAATACGTATCTAGATACATGGGCTCCAATACGATACAGGAACAATTTGTTTTAGTTTGAAACGATTCTCTGCGGTTCGGTTTGATTAGAGAACGAATCGATTCGATGCACAAACATTTGTTGCATAAACACATTCATATCACATTTTTTATTTGTCACCTGCGCCGAAAACAACAGGTGTAGTCTTTACATTTACATTTTAGTCATTTAGCAGACGCTCTTATTCAGAGCGACTTAGTTAGTGAGTGCATACATGCTTGCTTACGAGCCCTTCCCAGCGATGCAAAGTTTACAAAATGATAACACAAGAGGAATAAAATACACAAGAATGGAGTACCGGTACCAGATCAAAGTGCAGGGGTACGAGGTAATTGAGGTAGATATGTACATGAAGGCAGGGTAAAGTGACAGGCATCAAGATAGATAATAATAAGAGTAAAATAAGAACAGAGTAGCAGCTGAATATAATGTGTACGTGTTTGTGTTGTCGGGATGAGTGTGTGTGTTATGTATGTGTGCGCGTATGTAATGTACAGTATGTGAATGTGTGTGGGATTTGTGTGAGAGTGTAGTGTGAGTGTGTGTATATAGGCTAGTGTGGATGTATAGTCTTGTGAGTGTGCATAAAGTCAGTGCAAGATAGGGTCTGTGCAGATAGATCGGGTGACCATTTAATTGACTATTTAGCAGTCTTATGGCTATTTAGTAGTCTTGGGGGTAGAAGCTGTCTCGGAGCCTATTCGTCCGTGAGCCCGATGCTCCGTTACCGTTTGCCAGACGGTAGCAGAGTGAACAGTCTATGGCTTGGGTGGCTGTAGTCTTTGGCAATTTTTCGGGACTTCCTCTGACACCGCCTTATATATATATAGGTCCTGGATGGCAGGGAGCTCGGCCCCAGCCTGGGAAGTCTAAATTAAAATCTGCTGCTGATGGAGCTCATGAGCTGGATCTGTCTGAGATTACTTCTGAGTGTGTGTGTGTAAATGATATATGTCTCTGGTGTATGTACTATGTAGGCACCTTAGCTGAGCCATAAGGGAGACTAGGCATCTACCACCCCAGTACCACTATCAGATTGGGGGGGGGGGGGCAAGCCTATGTTTTTTGTCCCCTCACTTTGGGTCTGAAATTACCATCACCCACTAATTAACTTTTTTAACTAATGTATCAAATGAGCTATGACATAGCCAATGAATATATTTCACCCCCATCTCAAAATCGGAATGGTTTCGACCGGGTGGACATTTTTACGGAGTGATCTTCTCTCGCTTCGGCCGTGCAGTGCGCCTCGCAAAAGTGATTGCTGTCCTCGTTATGAAATTAGCAACCTTACCCTGTATATAAAATAAAATGTCCATATACACTGAGTATACAAAACATTAAGGAATCCTACTCTTTCCATGACATAGACTGATCAGGTGAAAGCTATGATCCCTTATTGATGTCACTTGTTAAATCCACTTCAATCAGTTTAGATGAACCGGAGGAGACCGGTTAAAGAAGGATTTTTAAGCCTTGAGACATGGATTGTGTATGTGTGCCACTCAGAGGGTGAATGGGCAAGACAAAATATTTAAGTGCCTTTGAACGGGCTATGGTAGTAGGTGCCAGGCGCACCAGTTTGTGTGAAGAACTGCAACGCTCTGGGTTTTCAAGCTCAACAGTTTCCTGTGTGTATCAAGAATGGTCCACCACCCAAAGGACATCCAGCCAACTTGACACAACTGTGGGATGCATTGGAGTCAACACGGGCCAGCATCCCTGTGTAACGCTTTCAACATCTTGTTGAAAGTCCATGCCCCGACTAATTGATGCAACTCTATTAGGAAGGTGTTCCTAATGTTTGGCATACTGATTGGTTAAAGCAAAACTATTGCTGATGGTGAACCTGAATAATCCAAATTAAATCTATTGTAAGCCCCGTTCAGCAGGTATAGCCAGATGAGAGTTTGTCCTGTAGCTTACTTTTAATTCCGGTGAAACACAATTTTCAACAGCGCATAGATAACAATAACCTAGCAAATCACATAGGGTGTCACAATCTTAATATCACGCAAGCCATTTTAGCATTTGAATGCTGAAGGTGCCACACAGATTTGCAAGACCAACTCGCGTTGGTCAGCACGTGAAGCTGGGCACAGTGCGCAGTTTGACTAGGCTACTGATATTGCCTGGAGTTGTTCGGCATGCAAAATTACTTGTAGATCAATGACTGTCAACATAGTTACATGCAGTTCGACACAAGATAAGAGGTATTTTCAGAAGGTAGAAAGAATGTATTAAGAGGCCCAAATAATTATGAACCAGTGATTCGTAACGTTTGAATCGATTTTCTGACCGATGCATGCTACATTTAGATCGGTTTGGGGTCTGCGGACTGACGCACTTGTATCTTAAACATTTGAATCTGGGACCGATGCATATCGGTGAATCGTTACATCCATAATGCTGTGTTAATGACTATTTTCTCTCTCTCTCACTCTGTTCCAGACTCTGATCCCCACTGGCTACCTGATCCCTATCTCCCAGCAGTCCCTCTTCAGCTACAAAGACCTCCACAACACAGAGAGCAGCAAAGCCTCCACACCCACCTACAACATCTACCACACACCCACTGCAGGTATACACACCTTTGTTTTTATATATTTATTTATATATATATATATATATATATTATTTATGAATTTTCAGTTTCATAAACAGACAGATAATGACAGCAAACAATACATTGAGAATACCCCCCAACTGGAGACAGAAAAAACTGAACACAACATTGCTCTTAAGGAATTGGCACCTTGCTTCATTTATATTTGACATACTGTACAGTATAAGGATTACGCTCGGCACAAAAAATATTACTGTGAATCAGGGTGGGTTGCAGGTTGTATGTTGTGTTGCCCATCACAACGTGAAAGATGCACTATAAAGGGCTGCCATATCTTAACGAATGAATTAGATCTGCCAGAGATCATGTCGAATCCTTTCTGTATGTAGCAAACTGGTGACTTCAGCTAACCAGGTTTTAGAAACAGGTACAGTCTCCTTATTCCAAAAGCTTAAAATGTTTCTTTTTGCAATAACCATGCCATATTGTACAGTCTTCTGTTCCCAGTGGGTTAAAGTCGTTAGGTGCTGTGACCTGCCTAAAACAGCAGTGTCCGGGGCTGGTATTAGGTTACAGCTGTATACTTCTGAGAAACACTTAAAACTATCCTGCCAGAAAGTGTGCAGTTTGGGGCATGACCAGAAGAGGTGACCCAGGGTACCCTCGGCAGATTTGCACTTGGGGCATATCGGAGAGAACAAAGAGTAGAACAAGTGTAATTTGGTACAGGAATAGTGTAGTCTGTGAATCACTTTGTATTGAATAAGTTGGTGTCAGAGGTTTATCGAGCACAAGTGAATATCTCGAAGGCAATCGGCCCAACTGTCATCAGTAATCTCCATACCAAGGTCTTCCTCCCAGGTCTCCTTCAAATGTTGTGTGGATACAGAGTGATATGCTGTAAATACTCTTGGAGTCAGGGGCGAGGTTCATGAAAATATACAGTACGCGGGCAGGTGTAATTGCCTCAATGTGATATATTTAAGCGAACGTACTTTCTTATCTGAAGATGTCGAACACATTTTTTCTATATATTTATTTATTTAGGGGGTAGATCAGCTTTAATATTGCAGATAAATTGTAACTTCCATCAATGTAATTGTCTGCATCACTTACAATCCCCCATATTATTATTTTTCTCGCAAATATATATATATACACATACATATATACACACATACATATACATTTCCTTTTTAAAAATATATTTCCCTTTATTACTTTCCAACCCCACCACCCCTTCCCTAGTTGGAGTAAACTAGTGAACAACAATGCTTAGGCCTCTACTTCCAGCTTATACATACTATATACATTTTATGGACACAGTCAATTTTACAATAATTCTATTTTGTTTGTTTTTACTCCTGAACTTTACACTCAACCTCTCAGATCATTTTCATGATGTCCATCCAGTTTGCCATATCTTTCTAACTGTGCTCTTTCACAAAAGCTCTCAACCTATAACCTATATACTTATTATGGACACAGTATGCTTACATTATTAGTTATCTGTTTTACAAAAGTTCTATGTAGAAAGAAGTTAGATTCCTGGGAGATCGTACACTTCCCTCAACTGTGGCGAATGTGTCAAAAGTATTATTGATGTAGAGGTCTGCGATAGTATTAATACCCTGTCTCTTCCAGAATAGAAAATTATTGTCAGTTGGGGGGGGGGGGGCGTGGTTATGGCAAATAGGAGTACAGGCTGATTTTTTTTTTGTTGCATAAAGTTGCCAGTAATACCTGTAGGGGATTTAGTTGATGAAAAGAGAAGTGCTGGAAGAGAGGTGTTGTGTGTACAGTCGTGGTCAAAAGTTTTGAGAATGACAAGAATTGGTCTTCACAAAGTTTGCTGCTTCAGTGTTATGAGATATTTTTATCAGATGTTACTATGGTATACTGAAGTATAATTACAAGCATTCCATAAATGTCAAAGGCTTTTATTGACAATTACATTAAGTTTATTTAAAGAGTCAATATTTGCAGTGTTGACCCTTCTTTTTCAAGACCTCTGCAATCCGCCCTGGCATGCTGTCAATTAACTTCTGGGCCACATCCTGACTGATGGCAGCCCATTCTTGCATAATCAATACTTGGAGTTTGTCAGAATTGTGGGTTTTTGTTGTCCACCCGCCTCTTGAGGATTGACCACAAGTTCTCAATGGGATTAAGATCTGGGATCTGGGGAGTTCCTGCAGCCCGATTCTTGCATACTCCTTGGATTTGTCATTGCTTCGAATTGTGGGTGTTCTTGTGTTGTTCAGTGTGTGTGTGTGTGTAAATGATATATGTCTCTGGTGTATGTACTATGTAGGCACCTGAGCTGAGCCATAAGGGAGACTATTAGGAAGGTGTTCCTAATGTTTGGCATACTGATTGTTTAAAGCAAAACTACCAAAACTATTGCTGATGGTGAACCTGAATAATCCAAATGAAATCTATTGCAAGCCCCGTTCAGCAGGTATAGCCAGATGAGAGTTGTCTCTGGTAGCTTACTTTAATTCCGGTAAAACACCATTTTCAACAGCGCATACATAACAATAACCTAGCAAATCACATAGGTTGTCACAATCTTAATATCATGAAAGCCATTTTAGCATTTGAATGCTGAAGGTGCCACACAGATTTGCAAGACCAACTTGTGTTGGTCAGCACGTGAAGCTGGGCACAGTGCGCAGTTTGACTAGGCTACTGATATTGCCTGGAGTTGTTCGGCATGCAAAATTACTTGTAGATCAATGACTGTCAACACAGTTACATTCAGTTCGACACAAGATAAGAGGTATTTTCAGAAGGTAGAAAGAATGTATTAAGAGCCCCAAATAATTATGAACCAGTGATTCGTAACGTTTGAATCGATTTTCTGACCGATGCATGCTACATTTAGATCGGTTTGGGGTCTGCGGACTGACGCACTTGTATCTTAAACATTTGAATCTGGGACCGATGCATATCGGTGAATCGTTACATCCATAATGCTGTGTTAATGACTATTTTCTCTCTCTCACTCTGTTCCAGACTCTGATCCCCACTGGCTACCTGATCCCTATCTCCCAGCAGTCCCTCTTCAGCTACAAAGACCTCCACAACACAGAGAGCAGCAAAGCCTCCACACCCACCTACAACATCTACCACACACCCACTGCAGGTATACACACCTTTTGTTTTTATATATTTATTTATTTATTTATATATATATATATATATATATATTATTTATGAATTTTCAGTTTCATAAACAGACAGATAATGACAGCAAACAATACATTGAGAATACCCCCCAACTGGAGACAGAAAAAACGGAACACAACATTGCTCTTAAGGAATTGGCACCTTGCTTCATTTATATTTGACATACTGTACAGTATAAGGATTACGCTCTGCACAAAAAATAATTACTGTGAATCAGGGTGGGTTGCAGGTTGTATGCTGTGTTGCCCATCACAACGTGAAAGATACACTATAAAGGGCTGCCATACGAATGAATTAGATCTGCCAGAGATCATGTCGAATCCTTTCTGTATGTAGCAAACTGGTGACTTCAGCTAACCAGGTTTTAGAAACAGGTACAGTCTCCTTATTCCAAAAGCTTAAAATGTTTCTTTTTGCAATAACCATGCCATATTGTACAGTCTTCTGTTCCCAGTGGGTTAAAGTCGTTAGGTGCTGTGACCTGCCTAAAACAGCAGTGTCCGGGGCTGGTATTAGGTTACAGCTGTATACTTCTGAGAAACACTTAAAACTATCCTGCCAGAAAGTGTGCAGTTTGGGGCATGACCAGAAGAGGTGACCCAGGGTACCCTCGGCAGATTTGCACTTGGGGCATATCGGAGAGAACAAAGAGTAGAACAAGTGTAATTTGGTACAGGAATAGTGTAGTCTGTGAATCACTTTGTATTGAATAAGTTGGTGTCAGAGGTTTATCGAGCACAAGTGAATATCTCGAAGGCAATCGGCCCAACTGTCATCAGTAATCTCCATACCAAGGTCTTCCTCCCAGGTCTCCTTCAAATGTTGTGTGGATACAGAGTGATATGCTGTAAATACTCTTGGAGTCAGGGGCGAGGTTCATGAAAATATACAGTACGCGGGCAGGTGTAATTGCCTCAATGTGATATATTTAAGCGAACGTACTTTCTTATCTGAAGATGTCGAACACATTTTTTCTATATATTTATTTATTTAGGGGGTAGATCAGCTTTAATATTGCAGATAAATTGTAACTTCCATCAATGTAATTGTCTGCATCACTTACAATCCCCCATATTATTATTTTTCTCGCAAATATATATATATACACATACATATATACACACATACATATACATTTCCTTTTTAAAAATATATTTCCCTTTATTACTTTCCAACCCCACCACCCCTTCCCTAGTTGGAGTAAACTAGTGAACAACAATGCTTAGGCCTCTACTTCCAGCTTATACATACTATATACATTTTATGGACACAGTCAATTTTACAATAATTCTATTTTGTTTGTTTTTACTCCTGAACTTTACACTCAACCTCTCAGATCATTTTCATGATGTCCATCCAGTTTGCCATATCTTTCTAACTGTGCTCTTTCACAAAAGCTCTCAACCTATAACCTATATACTTATTATGGACACAGTATGCTTACATTATTAGTTATCTGTTTTACAAAAGTTCTATGTAGAAAGAAGTTAGATTCCTGGGAGATCGTACACTTCCCTCAACTGTGGCGAATGTGTCAAAAGTATTATTGATGTAGAGGTCTGCGATAGTATTAATACCCTGTCTCTTCCAGAATAGGGGGGGGGGGGGGGGGGGCTTGGTTATGGCAAATAGGAGTACAGGCTGATTTTTTTTTTGTTGCATAAAGTTGCCAGTAATACCTGTAGGGGATTTAGTTGATGAAAAGAGAAGTGCTGGAAGAGAGGTGTTGTGTGTACAGTCGTGGTCAAAAGTTTTGAGAATGACAAGAATTGGTCTTCACAAAGTTTGCTGCTTCAGTGTTATGAGATATTTTTATCAGATGTTACTATGGTATACTGAAGTATAATTACAAGCATTCCATAAATGTCAAAGGCTTTTATTGACAATTACATTAAGTTTATTTAAAGAGTCAATATTTGCAGTGTTGACCCTTCTTTTTCAAGACCTCTGCAATCCGCCCTGGCATGCTGTCAATTAACTTCTGGGCCACATCCTGACTGATGGCAGCCCATTCTTGCATAATCAATACTTGGAGTTTGTCAGAATTTGTGGGTTTTTGTTTGTCCACCCGCCTCTTGAGGATTGACCACAAGTTCTCAATGGGATTAAGATCTGGGGAGTTTCCTGGCCATGGACCCAAAATTTCGATGTTCTGTTCCCTGAGCCACTTAGTTATCACTTTTGCCTTATGGCAAGGTGCTCAATCATGCTGGAAAAGGCATTGTTCGTCACCAAACTGTTCTTGGATGGTTGGGAGAAGTTGCTCTCGGAGGATGTGTTGGTACAATTCTTTATTCATGGCTGTGTTCTTAGGCAAAATTGTGAGTGAGCCCAGTCCCTTGGCTGAGAAGCAACCCCACACATGAATGGTCTCGGGATGCTTTACTGTTGGCATGACACAGGACTGATGGTAGCGCTCACCTTGTCTTCTCCGGACAAGCTTTTTTCCAGATGCCCCAAACAATCGGAAAGGGGATTCATCAGAGAAAATGACTTTACCCCAGTCCTCAGCAGTCCAATCCCTGTACCTTTTGCAGAATATCAGTCTGTCCCTGATGTTTTTCCTGGAGAGAAGTGGCTTCCTCGCTGCCCTTCTTGACACCAGGCCATCCTCCAAAAGTCTTTGCCTCACTGTGCGTGCAGATGCACTCACACCTGCCTGCTGCCATTCCTGAGCAAGCTCTGCACTGGTGGTGCCCCGATCCCGCAGCTGAATCAACTTTAGGAGACGGTCCTGGCGCTTGCTGGGCGCCCTGAAGCCTTCTTCACAACAATTGAACCTCTCTCCTTGAAGTTCTTGATGATCCAATAAATAGTTGATTTAGGTGCAATCTTACTAGCAGCAATATCCTTGCCTGTGAAGCCCTTTTTGTGCAAAGCAATGATGACAGCACGTGTTTCCTTGCAGGTAACCATGGTTAACAGAAGAAGAACAATGATTTCAAGCACCACCCTCCTTTTAAAGCTTCCAGTCTGTTATTCTAACTCAATCAGCATGACAGAGTGATATCCAGCCCTGTCCTCGTCAACACTCACCTGTGTTAACGAGAGAATCACTGACATGATGTCAGCTGGTCCTTTTGTGGCAGGGCTGAAATGCAGTGGAAATGTTTTTTGGGGATTTAAGTTCATTTCATGGCAAAGAGGGACTTTGCAATTAATTGCAATTCATCTGATCACTCTTCATAACATTCTGGAGTATATGCAAATTGCCATCATAACAACTGAGGCAGCAGACTTTGGTTGAAACGAGTATTTGTGTATTCTCAGTTTTGACAACGACTGATCTTGTCAATAGCGAGCATGAGCAGTTCGACACAAGATAAGAGGTATTTTCGGAAGGTAGAAAGAATGTATTAAGAGGCCAAAAAAATTATGAACCAGTGATTCGTAACGTTTGAATCGATTTTCTGACCGATGCATGCTACATTTGGATCGGTTTGGGGTCTGCGGACCGACGCACTTGTATCTTAAACATTTGAATCTGGGACTGATGCATATCGGTGAATCGTTACATCCATAATGCTGTGTTAATGACTATTTTCTTTCACTCTCTCTCTCACTCTGTTCCAGACTCTGATCCCCACTGGCTACCTGATCCCTATCTCCCAGCAGTCCCTCTTCAGCTACAAAGACCTCCACAACACAGAGAGCAGCAAAGCCTCCACACCCACCTACAACATCTACCACACACCCACTGCAGGTATGCAAACCTTCGTTTTTATATATTTATATATATATATATATTATTTATGATTTTCAGTTTCATAAACAGACAGATAATGACAGCAAACAATACATTGAGAATACCCCCCAACTGGAGACAGAAAAAACTGAACACAACATTGCTCTTAAGGAATTGGCACCTTGCTTCATTTATTTTTGACATACTGTACAGTATAAGGATTACGCTCGGCACAAAAAATTATTACTGTGAATCAGGGTGGGTTGCAGGTTGTATGTTGTGTTGCCCATCACAACGTGAAAGATACGCTGTAAAGGGCTGCCATATCTTAACGAATGTATTAGATCTGCCAGAGATATCATGTCGAATCCTTTCTGTATGTAGCAAACTGGTGACTTCAGCTAACCAGGTTTTAGAAACAGGTACGTTCTCCTTATTCCAAAAGCTTAAAATGTTTGTTTTTGCAATAACCATGCCATATTGTACAGTCTTCTGTTCCCAGTTGGTTAAAGTCGTTAGGTGCTGTTACCTGCCTAAAACAGCAGTGTCCGGGGCTGGTATGAGGTTACAGCTGTATACTTCTGAGAAACACTTACAAATATCCTGCCAGAATGTGTGCAGTTTGGGGCATGACCAGAAGAGGTGACCCAGGGTACCCTCAGCAGATTTGCACTTGGGGCATATCGGAGAGACCGAGGGGTAGAACAAGTGTAATTTGGTACAGGAATAGTGTAGTCTGTGAATCACTTTGTATTGAATAAGTTGGTGTCGGAAGTTTGTGAATATCTCAAAGGCAATCGGCCCAACTGTCATCAGTAATCTCCATACCAAGGTCTTCCTCCCAGGTCTCCTTCAAATGTTGTGTGGATACAGAGTGATATGCTGTAAATACTCTTGGAGTCAGGGGCGAGGTTCATGAAAATATACAGTACGCGGGCAGGAGTAATTGCCTCAATGTGGTATATTTAAGCGAACGTAATTTCTTATCTGAAGATATCGAAAGAAGTTAGATGCGGGGAGATCGTACACTTCCCTCAACTGTGCAAATGTGGCAAAAGTATTATTGATGTAGAGGTCTGCGATAGTAGTAATGCCTTTTCTCTTCCAGAATAGAAAAGTATTGTCAGTTAGTGGGGGGTGTGCTCTAGCATTTGCTGCCCAATAATAATGCTGAAAATGTGGCAGACTCATGCCCTCTAATTCTTTGGGCTTGATTATATTTTTTTTAGAGATACGGTGTACTTTGTATCACCACACAAAAGGCAAGATAATAGAATCCAAGAATTTGAAAGAAGCTTTAGTTAAAAATATAGGCAGATTCTGAAAGAGATAAAGGAATCTGGGGAGTGTAACCATTTTAATAGCATTAACATGGCCTATCATAGATAGAGGCAACACTCTCCAAATGTCAATGTTGCGCTTCAACTTCTCTGTCATGGCGAGGTAGTTCCATTTATAAATCAATTTAGTGTCCTTGGGGATGACAACACCTACATCTTTAATTTTGTCTCTTGTGATTTTAAAAGGTATATGTTTAAGGAACTCTGGGTTTAAGTCGCCTTTAAGAGGCGAACAAGATGATGTCATCCGCATAGAGCGAGATGCGGTGATCAACCTTGCCCATGTTTAGCGGAGCAATGTCAGGATGGCTGCTGATGCTAATAGCTAGGGGTTCCATAGTAATGGCGAATAGCAACGGACTCAAGGGGCACCCCTGGTGGCAGGAACGTTGAAGTGAAAACGGAGGTGATTTATTGTAATTAGTGAGAACTGAAGCCGTCGGGCACGTATATAGTATTTCAAGGTATACACACCTTTAACATTTATTCACAGTCGGTACACACTAACGCAAATTTGAACTATGTCTTTTAGTTCATTTTTTTGTGAGGACCTTGAGTAAAGCATACGGTATCAGATGACTTCAACTCAATTAAAATAGGAAATATGTATCTTATGACTGTAATTAACATGTCTTCCTTCTCTCCTTCCCAGGCTCTAGACCTCCCCCAATCCAGGAGTTCACCCCCACCAGCCTCCCCCTCCACAGGCCTCCCCCCGCCTCGCCCTTCTCTGCCCAGGGGCACCGCTTCCACAGCCCCAGCCCTGCCATCCTCAACTTCACCCTGCAGAACCTGGGCCTCATCCCTGGGCTTGCAGCCCTGGCACTGCCCACACCCCGGAGCACCCCAGCTCCATGCCCAGCCCCCTGCCTCCCCACCTGGGCCTGCATCAGAGGGGCGGCATGGTCTTCGTTAAGCCCATGTCCCCCGTGCCAGTCCAACATCAGATGACCGGCCCAGGCGGGCAACCACTCACGCTAATCAGCCTACAGCAGGTGAGATACATGCTTGCATACATACATCCACACAAACACTGTTACACACACACAAACACTGGGTCGCACATACAGCATACATACACACACAGCCAATAAGCTTAACACACACACACACACACAAACAGTCAAAGTCAAACCCCTCCCTAATTGCTAATGGTATGCTGCTGGTTCAGTGCTTGGGTAAATAGCCTCACTGTTGATATGAACGAGGTGTGATGTTGATTGTAAACATCTGCTAACTAACTTCTCTGTCGTCGTCTTTCTCCCCTCCTCTTCAGATGACCACGCCCAAAGGGACGGCCCTCCCCCAGCACAGTTTCTTCCACACCCCTGTCTCCCTGTCCCCGCTGGCTACCGTGGTAACCACCAGCCACGGACACACGGCGCCGGCGGGCGCTAAAAGCGTTTACATCCCTCAGAGGAAGCTGGAGGTCACCACTGAGGACACCTAAAGACTATGCTGCTACACAACCTCTGTGTGTCAACCAGCCCTTCAATGTGTGTGTGTGTGTGTCTGTACATGTCTGCATGGTTTTCTAGGGTTTGACTGTTGTATTTTTAAGGCGTACTGTAGGTTGAGGGATTTTGTGTTCTAGGGTATGTGATGTCTCCAAATGATTTCATCTTAAAACTGGTCCACGGGTTATTCGGCCCTCAGGACCCCAAGGGGTGCACGTTTTGGTTTTTGCACTACACAGCTGATTCCAATGATCGAAGCTTGATGATTAGTTGATTATTTGAATCAGCTGTGTAGTGTTAGGGCAAAAACCCCTTGGGGTCCCCAGGACCGTGGTTTATTCCATTTCTACAGGGGAAGACAAAGTATGTGAACGTGGTGTGGAAACTCCATACAGAAACAGCTGCGTGTCACTGTCATCACAGCTCCAAATATAACTCTGATGGAGAGACCAGCCATGGTAAATACTCTTAACCCTGGGGCTTTAAGACACAATATGCCGGATATTACTATGTAATACTATAATACTACAGCATACTTTTGATACTGGTTTATGTATGGAAATATGATTAGGGATCACCAGTAGGTATTACAAAACTGGTGATGGGTGCTTTCTCTGTCTAAATACTAAATAGTGAAACAGTCGGTCTTATTTAGGTTTTGAAGGGTTGTTTGCCAAAATGTAAGATGCTGGCTGAGTATTTCAACATTTCCCAAAGAGAAGTTGTATTGAAGTCCCATTACATCATCAATGTGCCATAGAGAAGAACAGCAACTTAACCTCAGTTCACCGGGATGACATTAATATGTGACAGGGGGACTTTTAATGACTGAAAGAGAAACATTTGATTGAAAAGTATTGTAGATTAACTGTTATTGTATGTGTCAAATTGTTAAGATTACAATTTTGCACATTGTACATGTTAACTGTTACCCTTAAAAAGCTGAATTGTATGTGATTCAAATGTAAGGGGTGAATGTATGTGATGGATTCCTACCTTAGTCTAATCAGGTAATTGAAATTGGATCTTAATGTATAGGGAATGGACTTTAAGCATTACATTCAGCTCAGATATCCTTGTATATAAAATTGTAAATAAACTATAAATATTGTTAAACCGGTGTCTGTCCTATAATAATAATTATTGTTATTGTTCATGTATGCTTTTCTGTCTCCCACGGTTGATGAATACATGGTCGATGATATGTTGGTGTCCTTTAGCATTAGTCGAGTAGAGTATGAATATGATAAAGGTGGTTTCATATCCAACAGTAAATACAGTACATGCCTTCAATTCCAACCAATTAAAAACACAAACCCGTCTAGATCTATTTAATTATGTGTACACACCCCTCTTAAATCATGTGCCAATTCCTATTACCATCAGCCAGACACATCATTCATTCCCCTTGGCTACTGTGACCCAGAAGTTTCGGGAAATCTCTATAAATCATGCTTGTGTAAGACCAGGACAAATGGTTGGTGAAAGCTCCAGGACCCAGCTTAGGGCCAGGGGTCTCTGTGGCCTGTGTTGACAGAGGTGGGGTGGGGGGCTACTGTAGGTCTCGAGTGTTAGTCCGAAGTTATTTTAGGAGGATGCTTTAATTTGAGCGTCACCATTCAACTCTGGGTGATGAGAGAGAGATGGACTGTATTTAAGGACTCCCCTCGGTGGTGTTGGAGCGGTCGCACTCAGATTTGAGACTGAACTGGGGGGGAAGAGATTGATACTGATACATCTACAGACTTGTGCAGGTATAGTAGTAAAATATTTATGATTTGTGAGTGATATGTTTGATATTGATAAATGTAACCACACACTGGTTGAATCAACGTTGTTTCCACGTCATTTCAATGAAATTACTTTGATCCAACGTGGAATAGACATTGAATTGACTGGGACCGGCTGTATTTACAGTAAAACCGATATCATATACTGGCCAGTGTCCAATCAGTGCCATACTTTTAGAATATTTGGTCCAAGGGTCCATGGATCAGACTGATGATGAACTTGATCAAGCTATCTCTAATTAATTTGAAATGCATGAACATGATTTGAATTCATCCATCACGACTCACTGGATGTTGGAAATGTCCATGTGAGGTAAGTATTAGTGACCCGGCTGCTTCAAGCGGTCCAGGGTGAATACTGGCTTGTGTTCTTCCATGGTCCTAATGGGCTCTATTCCTGGAGTCTTATCACCACATACCAGCCCTATGAGGTGACGGACTACCTCTAAAAGGAATAGGTGAGAATAGAGGAGAGTCAGGACTGGCTGAGATACCTTATCTCTGCTAGAAGAACAGTCTTGACAACATCGCTGTCACTATACTATGATGGGTAGCATCAAGGAGAATGCAAATATATACTTTTTTTTGTTAATGTAGTCTGAACCAATCGCAATGCATGCATAGCCGCTGGAATTAGGGCTGCTGAGGGTGCTGCAGCACCCCCTGATAAATCAGTATTAAAATAACAGCACGACCACCCCTAAACATTACATTTTACATTTTAGTCGTTTAGCAGACGCTCTTATCCAGAGCGACTTACAGTTAGTGAGTGCATACATTTTCATACTGGCCCCCCGTGGGAAACGAACCCACAACCCTGGCGTTGCAAACGCCATGCTCTACCAACTGAGCTACACGGGGCATCTTCCCGCATGTTTATTTATTGACCACTATGTCATGATAAGTCAGCAATCAACTGATGGTCTTGAGGCCACCCCTGAGTAGATTAAATCTGCAACCTCCATCCCACCCCCCTCTTGATGCAGACTCTCACCCCGAGACTAGGATGCCAAACTGGGGCGGCGGGGCCAAGTGTGCGGCCTGTGAAAAGACTGTGTACCACGCTGAGGAGATCCAATGCAACGGGAGGAGCTTCCACAAGACCTGCTTCATCTGCAGTGAGTTATCCTCAGTCACCCGCCATGTAGGCCTAGACTGACAGAGAAGACAAACTGATGACACGGATCTGCTTACAGACTCGTTCCATGTAATTTCAGTAAGCCATGACACCTACCATCTCATATTGTTCTAAAATTGTTTCTGTAGTTAGAAACAGGTAAGATTGGCATCCCTGAAACATTATTTTGTTGAAATTGTATTTTATCTCAGAGAAATTAAACTAATTGATTGCACACAAATTGGCCATTTTAATTTATAGGATTCAGATAATATTCAATAAATATAGTACCCGACATCTGATTTGGACCAAAATCTTCCTGCCAATGAGTAAGACATGAGGAATCCCCAAAAAATGATCAAAAGCCACCCACGGACCCCCCACACCCCATGCCAATCCCACCCCAACAACCAGTATACACTATAATTTCTCTATATTTGACAGGTAATATGAAGCTGCAGCTTGGAGTATTGCTTCTCCATACTATGTAATGTATTCCCTGTGAATCTGGTGATGTTTCTTTTCCCCTGTTCAGAGAAATTAGTAATTGAAGTCGCTTGCATTATTTACCGTAAAGTAGTGTGAAAGTACCAGGTCTTGACCACTAGATGCCGCTGTTCCTTCTATACTGCCACACTCCCATTTTGCTGGTCTCTTGTGTTTATTAAATAGATCAAAACATGTAGTTTGCAACTTTGGGTAGAAAACCAATAGATTTGGCTCATGATGAAAATAAATGATGTGGTCATCCTTACAATTCAAGCCAGTCCTCCATGGAAGCAAATCAGTTTCTACATCCTTTACGCTTAATCTGTGTCAAGGAAACAGTCCCTTTGTGTGTGGTTTAGTTACTGTAAAACAGCTCAAAGAAACTGCATAGGATGGGTGGGAGGTAACACAATGGGTATGTCTGCGAGAACACAAGGAGAGGGTTAGCCTTTTGACCTTTTATTGAATAGATTTTGTATCTTTGGTCTTTGTAGGCTTCCAACGCTGTAACCGGTAATAGATGATGATGATGAGGATGGTGAGAAATGGTGATGTCTTGGCTGCCACACACCACACTCATGCAATACTCACAGTCAATAACGCATCTCTAGTGGTCCGTGCTGGTTTGGTTGAAAGAGGACTAAATGACTGCAGGTGGGGCATTTAAAGGGATAGCCCCACCTCTTTCAGTTGGACATGATTGTTCTTAACAAGCTTTGATGGAGGTGTGTGGCATGCAATGAGGGTGGGGGGGGTCCCCTCCAGGTATGAAGGGAGTGGGAGGGGTTTTGTACAGTTACTGTTAGACCATTCCTGGTGAACAAGCAAACCATTAGGCTACAGCACTTCTAATGGATTCAATGTTATAGTCTCTAATGGTCTTCAATGGTAAAAGTCTCAAACACACACTGTATAATATTTTGCAATTGTAATGGTATTGGGTTGCATTGGGTTTAATGGTAAATATTACTAATCACAATACAAATAGAGCTGTTTCCTGATAATTGTATTGAAAAACATGCAATTCATTATTTTATTATGGTTGTCACAACATTTTAGTCCCTAGCCCATTTCTCCATCAAAGTTTTGGGCTTGTGCCTCCCAAGTGTTGCAGTGGTCTAAGGGTGCTTGAGGCGTCACTACAGACCCGGGTTCGATCCCAGGCTGTGTCACAACCGGCCGTGACCGGGAGTCCCATAGGGCGGCACACAATTGGCCCAGCGTCATCCGGGTCAGGGGAGGGTTTGGCCGGGGTTGTTTTACTTGGCTCATCGTGCTCTAGCAACTCCTTGTGGTGGGCCGGGCGCCTGCAGGCTGACTTCGGTCGTCAGTTGAATGGTGTTTCCTCCGACACATTGGTTAAGCGGGCGGGTGTTAAGAAGCGCGGTTTGGTGTGTCATGTTTCTGAGGACGCATGACTCAACCTTCGCCTCTCCTGAGCCCGTTGGGGAGTTGCAGCGATGAGACAAGATCGCAATTGGATATCACGAAATTGGGGAGAAAAAGGGGGTAAAAAAAGGTTAAAACCACACTATTAATTTTCAGAATGAGATAATGTCGGTAATGTTGGTCACAGATACCTTAAAAAAAGGTGTGGATCAGAAAACTAGTCTGTATCTGGTGTGACCACCATTTGCCTCATGCAGCACGACACATCTCCTTCCGCCTAGAGTTGATCAGGCTGTTGATTGTGGCCTGTGGAATGTTGTCCCACTCCTCTTCAATGGCTGTGCGAAGTTGCTGGATATTGGTGAAACTGGAACACGCTATCGTACACATCAATCCAGAGCATCCCAAACATTCTCAATGGGTGGTGACATTTACATTTTACATTTTAGTCATTTAGCAGACGCTCTTCTCCAGAGCGACTTACAGTTAGTGAGTGCATACATTATTTTATTTTTTCATACAGTCCCCCCGTGGGAATCGAACCCACAACTGAGCTACATCCCTGCCGGCCATTCCCTCCCCTACCCTGGACGACGCTGGGCCAATTGTGCGCCGCCCCATGGGTCTCCCGGTCGCGGCCGGCTACGACAGAGCCTGAATTCGAACCAGGATCTCTAGTGGCACAGCTAGCACTGCGATGCAGTGCCTTAGACCACTGCGCCACTCGGGAGGTGTGTCTGGTGAGTATGCAGGTCATGGAAGAACTGGGACATTTTCAGTTTCCAGGAAACGTGTACAGATCCTTGCGACATGGGCCCGTGCATCATCATGCTGAAACATGAGGTGATGGCGGCGGATGAATGGCACGACAATGGGTCCCAGGATCTTGTCACGGTATCTCTGTGCATTCAAATTGCCATTGACTAAATGCAATTGTGTTCGTTGTCCGTAGCTTATGCCTGCCCATACCATAACCAAACTGCCACTCTGGGGCACTCTGTTCACAACGTTGACATCAGCAAACCGCTCGTCCACCCGACGCCATCTGCCCGGTACAGTTGAAACCGGAATTCATCCGTGAAGGGCACACTTCTCCAGCATGCCAGTGGCCATCGAAGGTGAGCATTTGCCCACTGAAGTCGGTTACAACACGAACTGCAGTCAGGCCAAGACCCTGGTGAGGACGACGACCACACAGATGAGCTTCCCTGAGACGGTTTCTGACAGTTTGTGCAGAAATTCTTTGGTTGTGCAAACACACAGTTTCATCAGCTGTCCAGGTGGATGGTCCAGCTGTCCGGGTGGCTGGATGTGGAAGTCCTGGGCTGGCGTGGTTACACGTGGTCTGCAGTTGTGAGGCCGGTTGGACGTACTGCCAAATTCTCCAAAACGACGTTGGAGGGAGGCAGCTTATGGGGGGTTACCAGTCTGCTAGTACAGGAGTAGTATAGCCAGTGCACTACCCTTTTTGTTGTTGAAAAATATATATTTTCCCACACTGCAGACGGTTATATCGGTCCGCTAATACAGGAGTATTTTTTATATATTTTTTTATTTAAAACGTTTATGGGGGTGCTGCAGCACTCTCAGCACCCCTACTTCCCGCGGCTATGTCTGCCTTCACTGCCTTCACTGTATCATATTCTCATTAAGGAACCAGCTCAAAGGGTTTTAAAGGAGCAATATGTTGTAGAATGTAAACTAGCAAACACAGGAATACAAAGAAGTTGACAAGATTTGGACAAGCTGGCTTCTGTTTACAGTTCTACAGTTGCCATCTTATTGCGGTCCCACCCTTCTTTAACAGTCAAGTCACACCTTGAAACTCAAACAATAATCCTCTTCTTTCGTTTGGCTTTGAGGTTGTCTGTTTAATTCTGCCTGGTCAACCAAACAACCAGCAAACCCTTCACTCCGTAGGCAGTGGTCATTATTCCCAGCCAGTCTATCAGTGTTGTGGTGTTTTTAAGATGACTTGTTATCCTTAGATTTGAGCCCTGAATCCAGCTGCCTCTTACACAGAGAACCTCTTAGTTTATGCAGATTATATTTTAGTGGTCACTGGACCATGAGAGATCACGGCAGCAGCAAAGAGAGGGGAAAGGTGGAGCCCCTATCAGAGCACACAAAATGGACCCCCTAAAATGTCCGTACTCCTCCTAATGCCCCACTCAAATAGCACGTTTCAATCTCACCTAATTACTCGTGAATGGCTGGGGCTGGGCTTTGGACTGGGGGCTGCCAATAGGTAGATAGCACCACTGGGAGCACTAAAAGGCCTTTGTAATTATCTGCAATTGAGGAGGGATCTGCTGCTCCATCTTGCTGGGGCTGGCAAATGGGAGAGTCTGTTTGTCCACTATTAGCCTCTGTCCTACACAGTGGTGGAAAAAGTACCCAATTGTCATACTTGAGTAAAAGTAAAGATACCTTAATAGAAAATGACTCAAGTAAAAGTACAAGTCACCCAGTAAAATTATTTGATTTAAAATATACTTAAGTATCAAAAGTAAAAGTATAAATCATTTCAAATTCCTTATATTAAGCAAACCAAACGGCACCATTTTCCCCAAAAAAATTTTACGGATAGCCAGAGGCACACTCCAACATTCCTACATCATTTACAAACGAAGCATGTGTTTAGTGAGTCCGCCAGATCAGAGGCAGTAGGGATGACCAGGGATGTTCTGTTGATTGGACAATTTTCATGTCCAGCTAAGCATTCAAAATGTAACGAGGACTTTTGGGTATCCAGGAAAATGTATGGAGTAAAAAGTACATTATTTTGAGTACTTAAGTACTTTACACCACTAGTCCTACACAACCCCTCCGGACTGTAGTTTTCAGAAATAGACCCTGACCAGGGACAGCTGAAAGGGCTGTGTTGATTGACGTGGGTGGGACCATTATTAGACTCCAGGCCCAGGCTTCTGCGGCCTAGTAATATGAATAATGCCATTATGCACAGCCTGATATAGTCGCTTAATAGGTATCCGGGCATGAAAAAATATATTTTGCTATTAAAATAAAGGAACCAATTTTTTTGCTGTCCAACCTCTATCCTGACAAACTGACGAAAGTTAGTCCATAGCTGTCATGGCCACAACATTCTTTCTCTTGTAAACTGTGGTTAAGTGTAGACAGTGTGTCAATGTGTTCAAGTGTTGGTTTGGTTTTGCTCTTCACCTCAGTGGCCTGCAGGAAAGGACTGGACAGTACAACAGTTGCGGCGCATGAGTCAGAGATCTACTGCAAGTCCTGCTACGGCAAGAAGTATGGGCCAAAAGGCTACGGGTACGGCCAGGGTGCCGGAGCCCTCAGCTCTGACCCCCCTGGACAGAACCTGGACATGCAAACTCAAGAGTAGGTCCCTCTCGTTATTCTCTCTGACACCCACACCCCCCATCTCTACCCCTCTCTCTGTTCATCTGAACAACCAATTTAAGGACTCGACACAACTAACGTTGAATAGGCCTACTTAATTAAAAACACGGCGATGTCCAAGACACTGCTGCAGTTAAATATCAATGAAAACCTACATCAGTCATATTTTCATTATCAAAGAGACACACAAATACAGCTTTCATAAAAGGTTTCCCAGACTTTTAAATGTTACCAAGGAAACATTTTAATCGACATGTTCAACATATGGCAAAGCCTCTCTGTGAATATGGATGTTCGTGTTGGTCTCTTTGGATATTTATTGTAATTTATTCTTTCCTCTTTATGAAGCTCTAAACCTCGCCCCACATCCACAAACTCCAACTCCAGTAAGTTTGCACACAGGTTTGGAAGTTCAGATTGCTGCCAAAGATGTTCGAAGGCTGTCTACGCAGCAGAGAAGATCATAGCGGCAGGAAAGGTAAAAGTCCTCTATATAAGCCTTGCTTGCACCCTTTAGACCACAACAATACAAAGATCAGCTAACTCTGATATACGGGTGTATTTCTTGTTGCAGCCTTGGCATAAAACCTGCTTCCGCTGTTTGCTGTGTGGGAAGAGCCTGGAGTCTACCACAGTGACAGACAAGGATGGGGAACTCTACTGTAAAGGTACATACACGCACACACACAGGACCAAACAAGCTCCCACCATTTACGTGCTGTAAAGACCACACCGCTAGCCTGCCCTACAGAGCTATCTTAGATCAATTATACAGCCAGGCTTCAGTAGAAACCAGTGGCGGTCGGTGACGTTTAAGATGAGAGAGAATGGCCTTATTTATATTACTGCATATTGGATGACACACATTCATAATCCATTCACCCAGCTCAATGTAACATCGATATGTTTAGGCTACTACATGATACTCAAATTTTCCCTATACCCATCATGAGGTTGCTACAACCTAGCCTATGAATGAAAGTTTACAACGTAAGTGCACAGGTCAAAAGAAATTTGAGTAATCAAGGTCACAGACATTGACACATTCAATACCGCCTTGCACACTCTTGCCTGCATCTAGCTGATCTAGGGTGTAATCATTAGTCCAACAGTTGCAAACAAGTTTCTATTCGACAGATTCAGGTATGTTTATCCCCGTTTCGTTCTGTTTGCTTCCGTTTAAGAAATGTTTTTCAACAGAATCGGTGGAATGAATACACCCCTGATCTAACGCAAACACAGTTCACTTTCATAGCAGCCACATACAAACAGCATGATAACTTTGCTCGTTGTAATTACTTCTCGCATCTACGCACTCTCCTCTCACCTTTTCCCTTTGCTTGTGGACTTTAGTGCACAACACATCAGTGACCAGGCAACAAAAAACTTTCCAAGCCAAACCTTCATATGATAACCGCTAACCACAACACACAGCCTACATCGTTGTCACCATATTCATGTCATAGTCAACATATCTACTAGAACTAACACGTTAGTAAACCAGCTACAATCATGCAGTACAGTGTACAGTCAGCAGCAAGCAGTTTAGCAGTTACACCGGCGGCAATAAATTAATAAAACCAAAAGCTTACCTTGTCTTGGAAGAGTTCCAGTGTTGTCCTCTGGCTACACCATGGCGCTACCCTACAGAGTGCTGTTGAGGCTACTGTAGACCTTCATTGCAAAGCAATGTGTTTTAATCAATTATTTGGTGATGTGAATATATTTAGTATAGTTTTATCTAATAATGATTTTAATGTTTCACTATTTTTATGAAATTCACTGAGGAGGATGGTTCTCCCCTTCCTACACTGAGGAGCCTCCACTGGTAGAAACTCAAGGACCCTCAATCACCGATTAGGCTGTGGATTGCCAGATGGAGGGACTAATTTATCATACTCAGGCCCTGATTGATGCACACAATTATCTGTTGCTCTTGTCAACAGGAAGGAACTCAGTACTGTATCTTTTGGTGTTTCATTATTTCTTAGTTGGTTTCTTCCCTCTTTCTTTGTCTTTGCAGTTTGCTACGCCAAAAACTTTGGGCCGAAAGGAAAAGGGCTGGGGAACATGGGAATGGTGGAAGATGGAGAATGAATTCCTCGTAATAGTTTGTGTGTGTGTTTTCTTTTCTTCAAATATAGAGCATTTTGAGCACTTAGTAAAAATGTGTGTTCATTAAATTTTTCACCATTAGCTTGTATACTACTTTTCTTAAAACCTCTTTCTCTTGCCTTACTGTCAGCTGGATTTGTACCCGTAGGATTTGACATAATTGTAACTCCATCACAGCATTTACTAACACACCAAACGATGGAGAGAGAAGTGATGTCTAGCTTGTATAAACTGCACATTCCTTTCTTGTGTTCAAGGCAATGGATGAAACAGCACTGCCTCATTTGCATAAAAATGACATTGTTGATCTAAGGGTCGTCATATCAAAGCGAGCTATATGTCAAATAACGTGGACCACACACACACACACACACACACACACACACACCTGGGTACAATACAGACGGTCACCTATGGATGGTGTATAGCAGGGTTCCCCAAATTTGGCCCACGTGTGGTTTAATTTGGCCCCCCCAAGTAAAAAAAAAACAAACGATTTTATGTCATTGTTGGACATAAAACACTGTAAAAACACCAGGAAATCAGCTCCAAGTGATTTCAATTTGGGAAATCTGTTCCTAAGTATTCCCACGCATAATAGAGGGACATGTGATCAAATACAAATGTAAGAAAGGTTTGAAATATTATATCTGTTTGGGCTTTGAGGCAAAAACATTAAGCGCCAAACAAAGCCAACAAGCCGTTTAGCTAATAATATCTCTCCACATTAAAAACAAATGAACATGAAAACGAAAACAAAAGGGAGGGAAAGAAAGACATAATTAAGTCATATTTCTGTTATGTGTTAATGTGCTGCCTGGTGAAGACGGCTACACTAACTTGCCTCCAGCTGTGTTTATAATTCATTATTAATAGGATTTAATCTGCGCTCATAAATATGCCTGTGTAATTTAAATAAACAAGGCAACGCTAATTACCAAACACATTTGCGTTAATCTATCCAAACTATAATGTCTGGACTTTTTCTATTTAAAAGTACATAAGCTGCTGGAGGCTGACGAGGGTGTGTGTACATGGAATTTTTTTAACGTTTACCTGTAATGAGATGGTGTGAAGTAAAGGAATGATGTCTTGAATGATGTCTTTCTTTGGCTTCAATTAAAGAGGTCATGGTATGCATAATTTGTTTCATTAAACTGTCTCCTGTGGTGTGGATAACATAAGTAAATTGGGAGCCTGATTTAGTACAGGCTTACCCCAACATGTAAAATAAATACCACATATCAATTATAAAAAGGTAAATAAGAGGATCATTACAGTTTTACAATGTCTTCACTGGGCTATGCAGGATTGATTGGAACATGAAGATACTAATCTCTCCATAAGCAGTCATGGGTACATAGATACTGTATGTGAGCTTTGATTTAACTCAAAGGGCATTCTGACACCATAGTAAAAACAAACTTGCATTGCTTTATTCTAACATCCAGTGCAGTGAGTTACAATGGCACATTATTTTATGTGGTTATGCAAAAAAACAAAAAAGCAACATAGCTTGGATGCTAATGTCATTGCAAACTGTCCAGTGTCATTAAAGCCACACCCTGTAAGATATGCATACCATCAGTATGACTTCAACACAAATGTAAACAATGAATCAAATGCATCCCATGACATTTTCACAGGAAAATATCACTTGATTTCTATCTGTAGGAATGATATTCCATGAGAACATTACTTTTTCTTAGCATGACTTGAAGCTATACATTAGTTTACAAAGTCCTCATATGACAACAAAAACATAACTAATTAAGTAATAGGTCTTTCATTTTGGTTTTTGGTTACGATAACATAAGACCATTGGTCATTAATCGAAATGACTGGAAATCTCAGACTGTTGCTTTAAGGTTGAAATAGAAGAGCATAGTAGATAGGATAGTGGTTGAATATTGGATTGTTGAGATACGGGTTGAGTTCCGATTCCTTGCCTTCTCCCAATAGTGTGCACTAGTTCACCCTTAATGGATGTAAAAGCACTCCATTTGTGTAACAACTGCCAACAGTCCACTGTCCACCATATTTCTTCCACCCATCCATTTCTTCTAAATCCACAAGCGGGAGTGAACGAACGCACACCTCTGGGAGTGGGAATTGGAAACGGCCATGGACTCAGGTGCGTACCCACTGTCAAGAGAGAGGCTGGATAGAAAGTCAGCATACTTAGAGGTACAGTACTACAGGACCAGTATTAGAAAACTGTATGTACTGTATCCTCCAATAAAAAGAGTTCAGTGACTGAAAGCAATGTGAGGCTTTGCTTTAACTGTCTACAGTGTTGGTCCTTCAATCAAAAAACTCACTTACAGCCTCTTGCGAACACTGTAAAACAGACACATTTAAAAGATCCTTCTTCATTAAAAAACACATTGATCAAAATAGAACTATATTTATATTCATAAAAACAATGACTAACTTAATATACAATTTAAGCCATATTAAGGCTAATTTGACCCCCCCCTCATTAATATATACCAGCGTAAGGCAGCAGCAGTCTGTACAAAGAGCAAACTCATAAAATAAAGTCAGTACAACTTCCTCCGTGCTATTTCCCTTTATAGTGGTGTTTCATCACAGGCAGTCCAAAATATATAAAAGGTAAAAAAATGAATAAGCTTCATCCGTTTGGTCCAGAACAACAGTGGACCCAGGTCCTAGCTGCCCTCTGACCCTGTGGGGTCAGACGATGTCGGGGTGGCCGAACATCATGTGGTCTCGGCCGGGTGGGTACTGCTGGGTCCAGTCGACCATGGCGGGCTTGAACAGCCCACAGCAACGCAGCTGGAAGAACGACACCAGGTTCCGCACCACACCCAAACTATGGAGGGAGAGAAAGAAAAGAGAGAGGAATGGAGAAAGTGAGCGAGAGAAGCACTGGGCTACAATCCTAAATAGTGTGAGGGAATACTGCTTATTGCTTTAGTCACCAAGTAAACTGAATTGGCAGGTTAGCCTGATGAAGACCACTTACTTGTAAGGGTTCTGTCTGAGAGAGATGGATTGTGGGAGTTTCCTCTGACGAAGCATCAGGTTTGCCCTCTCTGCGGTGGTCAGGCCGAAGAACGCAATCTGTTCAGACAGACACAAACACACACACGTCTAACTAAAATAGAAATGCCACTATACCTCCAAATTGTCACTTTAGCTTACAAGTCCCTGTCGTAAAAAAGAATGATAAAACAACGATAAATAATGCATCCGTTGAATATTTCCTCAAAAAGACAACAGAAATAGCAGCCCAGCTCTCCTCCCAGCCCAGCATCATTAAGGCAGTGAGAGGCGTCTCAGTGTGAGGGGGGCCCAGCAGGGGGGACTGTCCTGGGGAAGGCACAGCAGCAACACATCAATCATGAATAATACACGCAGCGTTTGATTCTGAGCAAATCAAAATAAACACACAGCGAAAACAATGGCATCTCGAGCAAAACGAGGAAATCAAATAGTGTTTGTAGCTCGAGAGCACATAGTAATGCGGTCGTTTTCTTTCACAGCTCTGAGACAACAGCGTTTCAAGAAGTTATTCAAATACTACATGCCTACAGTTGTTGCAGTGGAGGTAGCATTGTAGCATCATATAGCTACTACACAAACACAGTTACCTGGTAGAGCTGTAGGACCAGTAGTATGGAAGCCCAGGCGGTATGGAAGAAAGCTACACAGAAGATGCCCAGTACCCAGGAAGAACAGTCCACCAGGGCAGAGATAGCACCCCACACACCCTCTTCCTGGTAGTGCAGCGGACAGTGCTTTGACCAGTCTGGCAACACACACACACACACACACACACGAGAAAGTCAGGCAGGAAGATAATGCATGTACACAAATAAAGTGCTATTGTCTATGTGATTCATTGAGACTGTCACTCACACATGAGACATCCGTAGAACATCCACGCTCCCATCAGGCAGAGAGAGAGGAGGAAGAGAACAAAGAAGTGGTGATTCCTGGCACCTGAAGAAAGTAAGGATGGGTGAGAGAAAGAGAAGACCGAAACTTTGTCATTAAAACGTAAAACTCTGGTGCTGACAAAGTGGCAAATGCTGGCTGTGTATTTGAGTCAGCTAATCTCAGAAGCATACTGTATTTCCAAGTGTTCAAATACTAGTTGACTGCCACTACAACGATTGTATTCCACTACACAACCCTATTAGTGCATACTGAGGCTTAGTGTAGATTATCCTACAAACTATATCTATAATAGACAGAAATATATATACTATGTGGTTTTAGTTACCTATGCAGCCATTGATCCAGAAGGAGTGATGATCCTGTTTTGCCACACAGGCATCACAGGAGAAGCAGTGATTGGCCCTCATGGGCTTCTTCATCTGCATAACCGAAACAAATCAACCAATCAGCATTTCTTCATATCACCACATTTCCTAAAGTGATAGCTTGAGCAAACATATTTGTTAATTGGAGGTCTTCGGTATCCCGCTATCTCGCTAATAGCTATGGTTTGAGTAAATGTGTTAGAATGTGACTGGTCTATTTTGGTCCTTGTGGCTTACCATACAGGAAGTGCAGAAGATCCTGGGGTCCAAGCAGCCTGCCTCTGCCAGCAACACCACATTCTGTAGGAGACACAGAAGACCAACAACATCCATATGTCATTGAAGTAGATTGGCAGCCATGTCACATGCCAACTACCCCTCTAGCCAGACCAGGGTAAACATTGTGACCTGTCCATAATGTTTTTCTACCAGTCTTTAAAAACAAAACAACAGTGATAGAACACCTTTTTTCCGATGTCCTGCTCCTTACCATCCTTTTCTCTTCCTCGGTTGCCTTGACGATGCCGGGGTCAGTCCTACAGGAGCGGAGGTAGTAGTAGAGCAGAGCAGTGGCGTTGAAAGTGAACAACACCTGTAGCATGGCACTGGGACCATGTAGGGAGACGGGTTAAGGACATAACATCGCACCACATACAGTAGGTGTATTACAATCCTACCCTGGAGGTCATGTTCTACCTGATCATTAAAATTGCACCCACCTGGTGTCCCAGGACTAAATAAGTCCCTGATTAGAGGGGATGAATGGGAAAAAAAAGCAACTGACTGAAGTTGAGATTTGAATTTTAGGGGTATGAAACACAGTATATTGCATTAACTACTTTAACACCTAAACCATGATACTGGACTGAGATGGACTTGGCGCAAGAGCGCGGCGCAGCGGTAGTGCTGCAGCCTCGCAAGCACATATTGCCCACAGTGGCATGAGTAGAAAATACCACCTGAACCCCATACTTTCGTGCCATCTCCCCTGTATACACTGTACCCTACCTGCCATCTGATCAAATACGCAAGGAGGAAGGAGCTCCGGTTCTCCTTCAAAAAAATATTTTTAAAAGAGATGTTCTTGGTTAGGCTGGACTAGAATGGGCTGGACTGAACTAGACTGAGATGGACAGTCAATGACAGGGTAGCGTTTTAGTGTTGATTCAGTACAGTGTTACATGCTGGGTTGGAGTGTGAGTGTCAATAGAGGCCCTGTGTTAAAGGATATCAGGCAGGAACCACAGGCACCAGGTGACCAGCATCCAGAAGACTGATGCCATGAGAGATGTAGCTGGAACCAGCGACTGCAGGGCCCGGCTCGCCAACTGCCTGTAAGTGCGCACAAGCACACTTATTATTGTACACGTTATAATATTGTTTCAACTAATAGCAGTCTTGTATGAAAATGTAAAATGAGTTGTGACATAAGTGCTCCTAGAGTACATTTTCTACTTAATGAGCAGTCATCTAAGCAAACGACTGCCCAGGGAGACTTGACAGAACCAAGCACAGACAGTATGAATAAAAGCAGGCTACTAGAGTCAGTATTTGAGTGCTATCTTGCAGAGGTCCCTAGTAATAACAACAGAGCTCTAGACAAGGGGTGCACTGCAGATCTCTCAATGCATCTCAGTTAACTAGCAGATGAAGAACAGTTGATCAACCCTAACCGCTGTGATGGTGTGCGGTCTTGTCTACTGGATTGACCACGGGCGGCCAACGTGCGTTCTCACCGTTGGGCCAGGTTGGCCACAGCCATCACACAGGCCAGCAGAACCCCTTTCAGCAGCCAGGATTCTGAGCTCAAGTCAGCTATCGCTCCCACACTGCCCAGCACAGCAACGCAGAAGATAAACTGAAGACACACCTAAAGAGAGACAAGGGCAGAGAGAAAGAATCACGTAAATATACTAATATTAATTTCAACCACAATGCCAGGAAAACTGCAGCGTTGGCATCTCTATTTTAACCCGAGGTTAATTATTGTTATCTTGTTCTCCCCCATGCTCTCACACACACACATAATACTGGAAGTATGGGTCAACATCTCTCATAGGCATTTACTGAGTATATGAAAGTGTAGTGCCCACACCCTGTGTGTGTTGAAGTAACGTAGGCAGAGAGAAAGTGTGTGTGGGGTGTCCATACCCTGTATGGGTTAACTAGGCGCATGCAGCGGGAGTTGGCGCGTATCCTCTCCTGCTTGATGTGGTTGAGCATGTGGATGAGCAGGGGGCTGTGCACCTGGTGGGCCAGGTCTATGGGAGTGTGACCCTGAGGAGATAAATACAGCAGTCACATCATCACACAAATCCTTAGTTAACCTCACACACTATAGTCCTTCATTATATTCACTATAGCAAATAAATAAGAACATGGTCATCTTTCTAATACCCCAACACATGTATCTCAGAGCCTTATATGTTAGTAACATCCTGAGTATGATGCATGCATCGATTTAGTCTATGAATTTATAACCCCCCCCCCCCCCCCACCCTGAGGTGTGTAACTGTGTGTGAAGATAACCCATCGCTCTATGGCAGCCATAATAGTGTCCTCCAGGAGCTGACATTGATGACATAATTAATTAGTGTGGGTGTGGGATCAAGCTCTCACGTTGGCGTTCTCGGCATCCACGCTAGCCTCGGCCTCCAGCAGGATGTGGGCGGCGTCTACGTTTCCCGCCAGCACGGCACAGTGCAGCGGAGAGTTCCTGTTCACTTTGTCCACAGCACTCACTGACGCATTGCACTTCATCAGGAAGTTAGTGGGCTCGGGCCTGCATTAAATGATTGGTTTATTGACTTCAGATCTCCCCACCCTAACACTAACCATGACCTTTCTTAGTAGTACATTACCAAAACAGCCCAATAGGCCAGTTACTGAGGACATGTTATTGTAAGCATACATGGAAAAGAAACAAATAATCATTGGGTTGCAGGGAAACGTACCCAATGATTTTCTGTGCAGCCAACATCAGGGGTGTCTGCCCATTTGAGTCAGGAAGGTCAACTTCCTATAAAACAGCAACAACAAAAAAGCTCCATAACTCAACACTCGTGAAAAAAAGGGCATGTTAGATTGAAGAGGGAGAATAAAGGAGAAAGTAAGGATGAGAAAGCACAAGAATAAGAGAGAGAAGGAGAGTGTGAGGCTGAGCGAGAAAAAGAGAGCGCAAGAGAGAAAGAGTCTCACCTGCCCCTTGGCCATGAGGTAGGCTGCTATGGGCATGTGTTGGAAGAGGATTGCCAGATGCAGGCTGCGGTAGCCCTCCCCGTCGGCCACAGATGGGTCGGCTCCGTACCGAAGCAGCTGGATCACCATGGAGAGGTGGCCCTGCCTGTCCACAGACAACCATACATAAGTCATCAAACCATATTCATATGTACCCCATAACACAATTAATTTTATTGCATGACATAAGTATTTGATACATCAGAAAAGCAGAACTTAATATTTGGTACAGAAACCTTAGTTTGCAATTACAGAGATCATACGTTTCCTGTAGGTCTTGACCAGGTTTGCACACACTGCAGCAGGGATTTTTGCCCACTCCTCCATACAGACCTTCAGCTCCCCTCCAAAGATTTTCTATTGGGTTCAGGTCTGGAGACTGGCTAGGCCACTCCAGGACCTTGAGATGCTTCTTATGGAGCCACTCCTTAGTTGCCCTGGCTGTGTGTTCCGGGTCGTTGTCATGCTGGAAGACCCAGCCAGCCTTCAATACTCTTACTGAGGGAAGGAGGTTGTTGGCCAAGATCTCGCGATACATGGCCCCATCCATCCTCCCCTCAATACGGTGCAGTCGTCCTGTCCCCTTTGCAGAAAAGCATCCCCAAAGAATGATGTTTCCACCTCCATGCTTAACGGTTGGAATGGTGTTCTTGGGGCTGTACTCATCCTTCTTCTTCCTCCAAACATGGCGAGTGGAGTTTAGACCAAAAAGCTCTATTTTTGTCTCATCAGACCACATGACCTTCTCCCATTCCTCCTCTGGATCATCCAGATGGTCATTGGCAAACTTCAGACGGGCCTGGACATGCTCTGGCTTAAGCAGGGGGACCTTGCGTGCGCTGCAGGATTTTAATCCATGACGGCGTAGTGTGTTACTAATGGTTTTCTTTGAGACTGTGGTCCCAGCTCTCTTCAGGTCATTGACCAGGTCCTGCCGTGTAGTTCTAGGCTGATCCCTCACCTTCCTCATGATCATTGATGCCCCACGAGGTGAGATCTTGCATGGAGCCCCAGACCGAGGGTGATTGACCGTCATCTTGAACTTCTTCCATTTTCTAATAATTGCGCCAACAGTTGTTGCCTTCTCACCAAGCTGCTTGCCTATTGTCCTGTAGCCCATCCCAGCCTTGTGCAGGTCTACAATTTTATCCCTGATATCCTTACACAGCTCAATCTGATTGAAAACCTTCTTAGCACTATGTCGGTACAGATCCGGTCAAATATATTGGCCCCCTAACACTTTTTCCACCATTCATTTTTCCCCATAGGGGATTTTAGAAACACTTAAAATAAAGGGCTGTGTTTCGTGTAGGCTTACCCTGGTGTGACGTTTTGATAACCGTGTAAATCTCTCTCGGACAAGGTGACTTTTATCATTATATTCGCCTGTATTTACCCCCCAAAAAATGAAATGCTAATGTGGCTATCATAAAGGACTATAAATGCCATGAAGATCTGGACGAGACTGCCGAATCGAGGCAAAGGTAAGAATCTCTGGATTAACTAAATGCTAAATGTAGTAATGAATAAATTGGCTACATTTTTTTTAAATGGACAATTCTGTGAAATTAGATAACTTGCCTCCAACCAAATTCATTTGAATAATTTAGTCCAGGCCATTTTTGACTTTGAAGTGAAAAATCATAATTTCAGTTTTATTTTTTTCTTGGTCGTATGCAGTTGTAAATCAAACAAATACACTTGTGAACAATGCGTGTTTTCCATTTAAACTTAACCGAGAAGAAATAGTAAATAATGTAAGGGTGCCAATATATTTGACCGAAACTGTAAGGGTGGACAGAGAGGGAGAGAGGGGGGACCTTGCCTACCAACAAAGCAATTACCTTATGGCCCAATGCAGGGGTGTGGAGTTCAGGTCACCACCTAGCTGGTCTATGACGGCCCCTTTGGATATATAATACCTATGAAAGAGCATTGAAAGGACATCTTAAAACTACAACTACATATGTCTTTGCACAGGAATCTTACGCTTAGCATGGGCTCCTCTTTGGGAATGATGTTGGATTGTTCAGTTTGTAAGAAAAAAGTAAACGCTTAAAATCTAAAACTACAGTGAGATGCCTAAGTCCTAACCAGAAACGTGTTTGATGTAGAGCCCTTACTTGACCACCTCCGCACGGTTGTTGATGGCTGCCCAGTGTAAGAGGGAGACATTCTCCTTGTCAGGCTGCCTCACATCGTAACCAGCCTCCACCAGTTCCTTACATCGGTCCAGGATACCAAACCTAGAATCCAAGCACGGGGGAAAAGATATTGAAAATCGATCCACTCGCACAAAGAATACATCTGTCTATCCATCTATCGATCTCTGGTAAAAGTTTCTGGAAGGTGTACTGGAATATAAGCATGAATCAAAAGGAAAATCTGGCACGCTAAAAGAGGTTACCATTTTTCTAACTTGTTGGTGAACTACAACATTCTGTCATGTCATATATATGTACTGACACTAGGGGTCAGTATTTAGTCCTGTTCATAAATTGATGCCATGGCTTTTCTGCATTTGGTAAATGTCGGAAAAGTTATGCTAGTTATTATCATGCATGACTGCAATGACATTTACATTGTCTGGTTGGAAAACAGCGATGTTGAGTTTGAGAGAGAAGTTGCCGGAGGGATGCAGGATTTTCACAGGAACTGAAACAAAACGTGGTCCCGTGTGGCTCAGTTGGTAGAGCATGGCGCTTGCAATGCCAGGGTTGTGGGTTTGATTCCCATGGGGGACCAGTATGGAAAAAAAAGTATACATTCACTACTGTAATCGCTCTGGGTAAGAGCGTCTGCTAAATGACTAAAATGTAAACAAAATGTCTGTTTAACTCCTCTTCCTATATCACATTAGGGTGGGTGTGTGTAGTCTTGACCTTAGACACCTGAGCTCTCTGTTTACTTACTACAGCAAACAGACTGAGTAAGGAATAGGCATTAGCAAAACTAAGGGGTGCAAACTGATGAGGGCCCAAAAAGGTGACAAATATCTTTTGCACGGAAACACCCGAAAAATCTGTGTAAACTGCAAGATAATGTGCCTATTTACAGAATACCAATATTTGACTAACGATGTGATACCAGGCCAAGTATCACGATACCGTTGATAGATTTTTGATTCCGATTTAGCTTATAATTAAATTGATAAGGCATATGCATCCTACCTTTGAAGCATCCCTGAGTAGGCCATCTATCCCTTTCCCGTTTTTCCTGTGCCATCCAAATTTGTGCATAGCCAAGGTACGATGTTGTTAGCTAGCTGGCCAGGTAACATGACTAAACAAGTTTGTTTGTTATCAAACCAAAAACTTGCGAGTCGCTAGTAGTTTAAAACAGCACGCAACATGGTTTATAAAATTACATAAAATGGGCTCCAATTCGCGTAGAATGTGGAGAAGGTACAGTAGCTCCGGTAATATAGAGCATAACTTTTGAGTGGTTTGGGCTAGAATCTCACGGTTTTAAGTGATATAAAAATGCAAACATGACTGTCACGGTGCTCCGTTTTTCCTATTTGGCAGTGGAACTCAAGAGACTTTGTGACAGCGAAGTCAGACTGGCCTGTTTGTTCTTACAGAAAATAAAAAGATAAGTATCCACTTCGCTCGTGTTGCGAGCCACTCCAATAATTAAACAAATTTAACAGAAACCCCATCACTCTCTGCACACCCCTGCTCATCACGGCTAAATAACATTTGAAAACTGATGGAGAAACGCAGTAACAACGGACGGAGAGAAGCAGCTGAGTAACCAGTGTGGTTAAGGGATGAAGCTGGCTGTGATATTGGATGGACAACTCATTCTGAATGACATCACGCTCTGAACTCTGTTTGATATTCTATTTGTAGGACGCATAGGGTTGCATTCTGTGCTTAGTCATTAATTGTGATATGAGAAACACACCATTTGTTGCTATCAAGGAGGGCATTTGATTTCACTGAGTGAAGACAGGCATAGTTTGCACTGAGTGAAAAGTGATTGCATTAGTTTTGGAACCGGGCTGCCTTCCATTTCCATTTCAGTAATTTAGCAGACGCTCTTATCCAGAGCGACTTACAGTTAGTGCATACATTCTTTTTTCTTTTTCTTTTTTCATACTGGCCCCCCGTGGGAATCGAACCCACAACCCTGGCGTTGCAAACGCCATGCTCTACCAATTGAGCTACATCCCTGCCGGCCCTTCCCTCCCCTATCCTGGACGATGCTGGGCCAATTGTGCGCCGCCCCATTGGTCTCCTGGTCGCAGCCGGCTACGACAGAGCCTGGATTCGAACCAGGATCTCTAGTGGCACAGCTAGCACTGCGATGCAGTGCCTTAGACCACTGCGACACTCGGGTGCCCTGTTCTGGCCGACGACAAATTTGGCTTAAAACAAAAGTGATGTAGGTTATGCAAAAGTGGTTGCTTTTGATAAAAACAGTTTATATGCCTTCCCAATAAAAACTACACTGAACAAAAATATAAACGCAACATGTAAAATGTTGGTCCCATGTTTCAGGCGCTAAAATAAAACATCCCAGAATTCTATTCATACGAACAAACAGCATGATCATTACACCTTGTGCTGGGGACAAAAGGCTATTCTAAAATGTGCAGTTTTGTCACACAACACAATGCCACAGATGTCTCAAGTTGAGGGAGAGTGTAATTGGCATGCTGACTGCAGGAATGTCCACCAGAGCTGTTGCCAGAGAATGGAATGTTCATTTTTAAGCCGCCTCCAATGACGTTTTAGAGAATTTGGCATTACATCCAACCGGCCTCACAACAGCAGACCACGTGTATGGCATCGTGTGGGCGAGTGGTTTGCTGATGTCAATTTTGTGAACAGAGTGCCCCATGGTGGCGGTGCGGTTATAGTATGGGCAGGCATAAGCTATGGACAACAAACACAATTGCATTTTATCAATGGCAATTTGAATGCACAGAGATACTATGACAAGATCCTGAGGCCCATTGTCGTGCCATTCATCCACCGCCATCACCTCGTGTTTCAGCATGATAATGCAGGGCCCCATGTCGCAAGGATCTGTGCATAATTCCTGGGAGCTGAACATTTCCCAGTTCTTCCATGGCCTGCATACTCAGCAGACATGTCACCATTGACATCACCAGACCCGGGCTTTCGGGGCTTTACCCCCGAATGATTTTGTCCCAGCCCCAAGTCTTTTGCCCTGCTGGGACGGTGTAAAACAAGCTAGGCTACACGAATTACACAATGCAATGAATCCTCCAAAACATGAGCCCTGGCCTGCCTTTTTAGTGCTGCCTAAAACCAGCATTTCTGTGTACGGTGGCACTTTAGGAGGCGGAGTCAAAGTGGTTTTCCAAAGTCATTTTTTATTAGTCCAAATTATTTTATATTTCGGCGGGTGACTGTTCATTCTCTGAGGGAGAGAGCGCAAAGATGATAAGGAGAACCGGAGGTAAACTTTGTTAGCTTGCTATTACTATAGCACATTTTGTTAGCCCATGATGATGTTATTCAGTTATTGACCTCACAGTAAGCCAGATTCGAGTAACTTACATTTCAACATGTTGACTCAAAAGCTGCACTGACAGATAATGTTAAGCTAACTAACTAATGTGAGGGACTACCCAGTCTAGCTAGCAGTGCTGCTTCATTAGCAACCTAGCAAATGTTATGAACAGGGTTTTAACAGTACAGTTATTGATTAACTATCTGGACACTGAATCGAACTGCTGGAGCTCTGTTCACCACCCGACACTAACTAACCAATTACTGTCTAATCAAGTACTGTCCAAATACGCAAAAAAATACTAATAAAGATAACTAGCTAACTTAAGGCTAACATGACGTTAGCTACTTTTGGTAGGCTGGACACATGACTTTTTTAACAACGCTTTTTTCAGATAAAAACGAGTTCATTGCATCCGCCGTGAAGCCCAGTTTCATAATATTACCATATGTCCCAGCTCCTTGCCGTAGTTTTGAAGTAATCGCGAAGGAACAGGCTTATTTTAGGACATTTTTCATCCTGCCAGTTCCTATTAGTTCTATTGAGCACCATCGCACCAACTCGCCTTCCGAACGTTCTATTCAAAGCCCATTGCTGACAATGAGACCTGCCCACGTTAACCTTGTAGGCTTACCTCCGGTAATTTATTATTAAGAAGGTTACGGCTACTTTGTGAGCAAGCTCACTATTCGCCTGGGTACACGTTGTCGATCGCTGGCACATAGAGATCAACCGTTAAACATTTTCTGGTCATGGTTCACCATATTTTTTCTCTCCAGAAAAAGGTATAGACCTAAACAAAACGCATGTCCCTGTCCTTTTATTTCAAGATGTGGCTGATTTAAAACAGCCAGAATACATTTTTTTTATTAAGAAATACACTTTTTTCTTTTGACGATTTGTTGTATCTAAATGGCTGCTGGGTAATTTGATAGCCGTAGAAATCTGTTCGTTTCGTAGAAATCGAATTGAGCGAATGCTGCGCAGGTTCACTGAGTTGCAAACCAAATGGACAGGTCTAGCTCATTGATTTGTAGATCTGACGCAGTTGCTACCTCTGATTATGAGCCTAGCAAATGTCTCGAATGAGTTATGTAGTACCCACCGAAGGCCACAGGGAGGAGCAACAGAACTATAAACCCATATAGTTTTTTGCCTTAAACCCTAAACCTACGTATAAACCTAATTTAGCCTTAACCATAACCCTAATTCTTAGGTAGGGTAGCCTACAACACTTTTAGAAAACTATTTTAGTAATAATATTATGTTAGTAAATACCATTATAGTACTAAATAGCATTTTGATTTTTTTAAAATCAAAACCTATGTAAGCATTTTTCTGTTTTTGTTGTTGTTATTAGTTATTTTATATTTATTATAGCAAGGCAGAACACTTGATAAACAAGCCACATTTTATGTTTTATTTTTCAAATGTGGTTTGAACTGGGTGTGACCTAGTAACCTCTGTGAAAGTCCAGCAATTGGCGTGGGATAG